AATTTTCATACTCAGTGCGTCAACGATTACGACAAATTGTACACAACTGACGTCATGCAACAGGAAAGCTTCAAGAAAGAGGCCGTCCGACATTAATAATTTGCTATGTAATCACGTGTCACATAATGGAACACCACCGTTTTTGATATTCTTGGTCTTCTTTCTTGGTATGTTGTTACTCTACTAGGTTATTGCAGTATTTGTGAAAGAGTTTTTGTTAAAATTTTAAATTTACACAATTGTGTATTATATTGTTATGTAATTTACAAATTGTGTATTATAGTGTTGTAAGAGAGCATATTATTTTTCCTAGAGCAGTGTGCGTACATTTTTGGAAATCATTTTGTGTGGTATTGTTCGGCAGCGTTTTTTGCTGATGCAGGCCAATACTTAGATATAACTAGTATTACTATATTTATTTATAAGTGTGAAATATTATTTATTTCTTTTCCGAAAACGTGTGTACTATCTGACATTTATTCGTGCACTGTACAACGTGTTAGATTATTTCCTACTGCTTCTTAATTTCTCTAACATACGTCAGTAAGTCGTCTATCTTTGTGCGCATATTTCTTCAAAGTTATTGACTTTCTTACTTTGAATGAATTAATAAAAATACGGGAAGAGCAAAGCAATGTTTATATGTACATTCATGTATATTTTTTATGAATCCATTTTAAACATAATAAATCAAAAAATTAAAGAAGATAATTGATTACATTAGTCAGAGCGCTTCCACGATATTCTGTACATGGTTATAGTATGGAATCCCTTACATGTCCCTGCGTCCATCATTCCAAGAAACATTTCTTTTTTCATATGCCACGGGAATGAAGAAAGTGAAGTTTCTGAATTCCTGGAGTTCTTGTTTGAACAGTCCTTTCGGTTGTGTTGTCTCAACGGTGTCGCATGCATATGAGCCAGCTCACCGTGTTTGCTTTAAGATACCTCTCGCAGTAGTGTTTGTGTGTATCGCATGTGTGTGCGTGTGTGCGAGGGCCCGTGCGCGCGCCTGGCGGCGAAGAGTGAATGGGCGAGGCGAGGCAGGGCGACGCGTCGCGACGCACAGTGGCTGCATTGTGATGTGGCGTGCTCTTGTGCTCCGCAGGCGACGACAGCAGCAGCGGCCTCCGTCGTCGGCGACGTCGGCGGCGGCTTCGGCGTTGGCGACGGCCACACCATGCTCAAGTGGACGGTGGGGCACCGCAAGGGCGGCGGCAGCAGGCGCTCGCCGCCGGGGGGCGGCGGCGGCGGCAACGGCGGGCCCTGCTACAGGTGGGTGCCCGCGCCCGGCCAGAGGGCGCGGAGGGCGGCGAGGTGGAGTTGCTTCAAAGGGGTTCACTCTCTTTCGAGAGGGAAACAAAAGGCTATAGGCCGGGTTCGTGATGCTTGAACGTAAGATGCTTGAAGAATTGATACTTCAGCTTTTGTTACCATCAGCGTAGACATTGATACTAATAATTGTAGTAGAGCAATAATCAATTAATTAGTAAACAACATTCTAAATAACTTATTTTCTTAATTAATTAAAATACATTGTGGAAAACAATAAAACGAAATGCGGCTAAGAGAAATTTATTCCAGATATATCAGAGATTGGTGTCGTGTATGCAAAATCATTTATGTCAATGCAACAATACTGATACGATCTTCATAATGAATTACTGAATCAAGTATCAGAGCATCCTATGCTTGAATCTCATGTGAGAGTACTGATACTGTGATAGGAATTCTTTGACAATGGCCAAATAAGCACAGAAAATAAATTATTGTCCCAAAATAAAAAAAAAAGTATCAAAATAGTGAATATATGAAAGTGTAACAGCAAAATTTAAGTGAAAACACCCCTGACTACACTCCTTTAAACTTTTATGAAAGAGAACTTCCCGATGCATGAAAAAGAGTACTAACAGCACTATTAAGCATCTTCGTTAAATCTTGAGATTGAGGTTGATATGGTAATAGTTATGGAGTAATGTTGCATGTAGAATGCGACCTCTCTATTCCGTGTAGACTAATACACAATTCAGGACATGGAAGTTTTAATAGATTCGTAAATTACGGGAAGTCTCGGGGTTTTGTTGAAATGTGATTTGACGTTATGAAGTCCATAAGGAGAAAGATCCTTTTTTGATTGAGAAGATGCGGCTTTAGCTGGATGACAGGGCTTACACAAGTTCTATTTTTACACTTTTAAACTTACCAGATTATATTGTTGTCCGCTCTTTCACTATTTATAAGAAAGTTTGAGATCGCATCATGTGACTCCGTAAAACCCTCATTTATTTGAATTTAATCGAAATTTTTGCGGAAGTTTGTAAGAGTAAAACGAATGTAGAGGACCAAACTATTCAATGCAAAGGGTCCCATTGACGTTCCTCTTAAGTTATATTTCCTTTGACGTTCTTTAGGATTGTAATGCTTTATTATGCCCATTTCCCTCTCATGTGCTTCGTAAAAAGAGTAGGATGTGTGAAACAAGGCTCATTATCTTGTTAACGAATACTTTATTGAAAGGTCAAGAGGCACTATGCCTTTGATTGACCATAATGATAATGTTGTGACACACTCATCACCTCTCACTGTTAGGTTGAGGGAGAATTGTTTCTATCTGAGGAATAGCAGCTTCGACTTAATGCTCTGCATCATTATTGTGGGCATTATACAAAAATTGGCCATTTAACGACTTTCTTATTAGAGATAGTCTGCACATTAAATTAATTGAATATATATTTTATATAAATAGAAAAGAGGCTAATGTACTCGTACAGATGCCTAGAACTTCATTTTAATCGTTTTGGCTTGCGATACATTTTCAAATTCTTAGTCATTTAATTTCATGACTTAACCCGTGTGAGGTCTAAAGGAAACATTCGTGGATATTTGCGTCTATGCGTACTTCATTATAAACAGAATTTCATTCCAATTTCATCTTAATCTCAGAGAATATTGTAAAATTGTATTAATAGGGGTTATAGTATGTACAAATGTATTATGGCTAATCGATTTGGTAATGTTTAGTTTGCCTAGCCTCTAGAGAGATTACATCACAGCATTTTAATTGTGAATTATACATTAACCGTTGTTTGTGCAACGTCCTGACGTATAAAAAAAATAATGGCAACTGAAGAAGAGAGGTTCTTTTTTCTTATACTTGAGTTTCCTATTCGAAATTGTTGGAAACATTTTCATATTTATTATTTGATCACATTGAGTCCGTATCTTAATAACAGCGTGATTGTAAATTGAATGTCCTGCGCTAGAGGAACTGTTCTCTAACAAAGCCTTCTCCGGTTGCAGCATCCGGCGCGCGGCGGCCCGCCTGCAGCAGGCGGC